AATATATTTATATTAAATGACATATCTGACAACCTTTTGTGGTGGAGATTATCTGATGTAACAAAAAAGATGATTGTTTTTAATTTTGATGATCAACTAATTGCTATTCCAATTTTACATACATAGATGTTATTAATAATTATTAAGTTAGTCAACCTAACAATTTAAAATAATCTTAAGTTATATTATATTTTGTAATCTGAAATGTTAAAATTATTCACTAATATCATTTTTATTTCTACCTACATAATATTGTATTATGAACAGTATAATAACTGTACTTTTTTTATTTTAATTTTTTTACATCTACCAATTTTGTTTTTGTTGCAACCATGTCAAGTATAATTTTATTTCTTGGTGTATAATTATTATTTATATATACAGGTAATAAAATGTTATTCATCTAAAATTATATTATTTATTGTAGATACACTATAATAGTAGTTATTATTATTAATATAAATTCCTAGTTCCTCATATATCTACTTGTCATTAAGTATTATGTGTGCCTACTAATTTCTCAGTCAATCATAAATAATGCTAAAATTATAAATAATTTAATTTAAATTATCTCGTAAATTTTTAGTTTTTGTTTCTAATTAGCTATAAATTATTATAATATATATCTTGTGATTTCAGAAGCCCTATAATGTGGTCAATTGTTAATTTTTATAAAGATGATTCAGTTAGTGCAGTCCCAAGTCATTGGTGGAAAAATGGATATTGTCCCTGGCCGAAAAGTTCCGTTAAACATCCATTATTGTTACTTCAAAGAAGAAGAAATTTGATTATGATTTTTTCAAAGCAAGAATAATGCATACTAAAAACGGGAGGCCTTCAAAACATTGAATGTCAAACAATTGAACGTCAAAATCTTGAACGTCAAAATATTGAACGATAAAATCTTGAACATAAATTTATGTCAACATCTTGAACATTCAAAAACTTGAACATCAAAACCTTGAACGTCGAAATCTTGAACAAAAAAATAGTTTTCGTCAAACCTTTGAACGTCAAAATCTTGAACAAAAAAGTAGTTTCCATCAAAGCTCTGAACGTCAAAATCTTGAACAAAAAAATTGTTACCGTCAAAACCTTGGACATTAATACTTTTTATCTCAATTTGTTTTTCTCGTGCTGTTCTAGATATCACATTAATTTTAATTGTAAAATATTATATTTGCAATATTGGAAATTAAATACTATTCCTTGTAAATATTCATTGGTTGTTCTATTTTTATAATCAAAGCCAATATTTTACAAACGCTGTACTTTGTCTAACTATTTTTTTTTCGCAGGGGACATTCGCCAAATGTATGTACATTTCCCCACTCAACATTTTTTTTTTTTTAATCATTTAAGCAATAAGCACCTCTCAATACAAGTATACAACTATTATGATCTGTATCTATGTAATATTGTAGGTAGGTATACACTATACATTAAAATAAATAATAAGATATCTAGATACTAGATGCAGTTACATCACAAATCACAATAAAAGCACACTACGTGGTCTTAATGCTTATTCATTAAGCACTTTAAGCAGAGGAGTGCAGCTAATAGAGCCGATTATCAGCGACGGATTAAGAGTTAAAAACGCCGGGGGTAAAATAAATGTAACGCCTCTTTGCCACAATTTCAAAAATAATTAATTATGTTTTAATTATAGTTTAAATTTAAATATTTTACAGAGCAGTAAAAAAAAAAAATAGTTATTTTTATTATGAGGAATTGATTATTAAAATAACTATTTAAAATACAATATATTTTATTTGAATATAACAGTTTTAGATCAATTTTTTTCTGATAACTTATCCTGAAGCGAATTTATGAATTTTTTTGTTCCCATTCTATTTGTTTTAATATTGTATTCTCTATACTCAATATGGAAAGTGCCGAAAGTTTTTCATTAGACCATGATGACCTAAGGTAATTTTTCATTCTTTAGAACTGAGAAAGAACGTTCCCCAGTGACATTAGAGTATGGAAGAGAGCAAAAAAATTCTTAGAGCTATTTCAACATTTGGGAATGTTGAAGAAAGCTGAGATTGTATGAGAGCTTTATTAAAATGTGAAGCACAGATGATGATTCGTTTTCAATAGAAAAGTTACAAATTATATCTTTAAATTGTACAACTTCTCCTATGAAATCGTTTTCAATATCATCAGGATAAATATCAATACGTTTTTTTGCATAGATTTTAATATTTGTTTACTATTTAATATCACTGTATAAAATCTAAAAATAACATATAAAATATAGCCATCTCAATAGATGATATTCTTAAGAAACGAGTTAGCTAAATGTCAGTGCCAATAGTCGATCCGGCGTAAAAATATCTACTATTGCCGATTGAAAGCTTATCAATCCGGCAGGTGGTGGTTCTGTAACCTGGGAACATGTAAAATAACATATAAATGATACACAGCGTCCCAGTTACGTCTTATCACTTTCAATCACCAATATGAAAGAATAATATTTACTTTTTTTTTAAACTGACATACCCTTTTTCACCAAAAACGTCCAAGTATAATATAATAATTAATAATAAATAATATTGGTATTAACAATATGTTTACTCCGTTCTTAAAATATGAAAATGATAAAGGGGCAGTTGCCCCTTTGCCTCCCGGCTCCCGTTAAACACGACTCTGCCGATTATTACCAAATGAGAACATAGTAACAGACTAATGGAGGTCGGAGTCCGGAGAGTCGTTGCGATTGGGAATATTCCGATAAACCGATAATGTGGAAAATCCATCACTTATTTTTAGCGGGTATAATATTGTTTGATAATATTGATGGATGATTATATAATATTATGGAGATTCGTGTGATTTTTGTTTTATCTATAAAATATACATGAATAAAATTAGTCTTATATACTAGTGTTTGAAAATTTAAAAAAAAAACGGTTATGGAGGGGAGGAATTCGACACCCAAATCCCCCCCTTAATTACGCCAATGGATGGCATTGATTCAAAATTGAAGTAAAATAATAAATTATGCCATCCCTATACTGCATTATATTATTAGTCCTAGGTAAATCTTCCGAAATCAATGAATAACAATTCCAAATTGAAAAGTTAAATTTAGGTCCTTGTTATTTTTGTCTTGCGGTACCATAATGAGCAATATTGATTATATACCTACCTTGAATTGTAAATATAATTTAAAATATATTTTAATAAACTTAAAAAAGCATATCACTTGTTTTAAATTTGTTTTATCCATTATCCCTAATGAATTGTAATTTTATATATTTAATTATTTTAAATAAAAAAAAAAAGGTGGGCAAGTGGGTGTCGCTCTGCTGTACAGTAGGTTACAAGTGGGTCACTGTAAAATGGATGATATTAAATTTGAATTCAACGATATAATATCATTGTATAAGAAAAACGATTCTGAGCGGAGACGGTATGTCAGTCTATGTATAAGACATATTATATACATATCTATGGTATTAAACAAAAAATTGACCTATAATAGGTACCTATAATAAATTCCAAATTAATCATATCACAATATCCATTAGGTACTTATAACGCGTTATACACCAACAACAAACCCTGATACTATCATAGATATATAGTAGTATACTTTAGAAGTTTCAAGTACCCACGAATAATATTATTCAATCACAACAAAATAGCTAAAATCGTAATTCTTGGTTTAAATATGAAATTTTGTCTAAATTTGAAATTAAAATGTCTATAAAAAATAAGTGTGTTTATATATTTCTTAGATTTTTTGGTTACAGTATGAATTATTTAAGAGAATCTTTGTTTTAAATTTTCAACTCTTAGTTATAAAAACTGAACATTTTATAATATTTTAATTCCAACGATTGATAATTTTCGAGATTTTGATAAATTTTGTCAAAATTCCAACTTTAAATGCTTATAAAAAAAAATCGTGCCTATGTATTTTTAATATTTTTCAACTGATATTGTAACAATATATCAGGAACCTTGTATTAAATTTTTACACTTTTTGGCCCAACAGATAAAACTTTATTGATATTTATAGAAAAAAAACTAAAAAAAATTGAAATCTGTAAATGGCCATAAACAGCTCAAAAAGAGTCAAAATATTTTCAAAATTGTATGGTGTATAGAAAATGCTAATTTAAACATTGAGTGAAATTTTCATGTATCTACAGTTGTTCGTTTTTGAATTGCAACAAAATAAAGAAATCGCTACATGAGTAATCGAGTGAATATCCAATGTTGTAAAAATTTGAATTTCAAACGCTCATAAAAATTTAATTTGACTGTCCGGTAGAGATTTTTTTATTGATAAAGGTAGATAATCTTATAAGGAATCTTGTGTTTCATTTTCAAATCTTAGATTTAAAAAGAAAAATTTTTACGAATTCTTAACTCAAAATAATTTGCTAATTTTCGTGATTTTTCCATATTTTGTCAATTTTTGAACTTTAAATGCTTATAAAAAAAAATTGTGACTAAGGATTTTTAATATTTTTTATCTGCCTTTGGAACAATATACTAGGAGCCTTCTATTAAATTTTCAAGCTTTTTTAACCAACAAATATTATTTTATTGATATTTTTAGAAAAAAAACTAAAAAAAAATGGAAAATGAAAATGTCCCTAAACAGTTCAAAACAAATCATAATATTTTGAAAATGTTATCGTGTATAGAAAATAACAAGTTCTAGTTGCAGCTCATTTGTACTAATTTATTTTGATACATATTGCTCTCTTACGCTCACTAATTTCGTTAACTTATATTCATATACTATCGTTGATTTACTGTGCGTGTTTCCGAGTGCACAATCGCTGATTTTCCTGCTTTATTTGAGCTGATCGGCTTACCGCTTGCACCTGGGAACTTAAACGCTCGGTATTAAAGTTGACGAGCCCTCATTATACTGCAGTGTTGCTACTGCGGTTGCCTAACTGCTTATTATAAGGCTGTCTCATCTGTACAATTTCAAGGCGTAATTAAAGTAATTTATTACTCTATTCCCAAACATGGAAATACTATCATCTGAGCTGGGAAAATGGACCAAGTCAATGTTGGTGGATTTTATCCTATCCAAATCACTCCCATCTGGTATCAAGCTAAGTGATGAATTGTCACAAAAACTTTTTAGCCCAACCGATCCCGTTATGCCCCCATCTAACTCATTAGATGTTGCAAACATACTCCAATCGATTGTTTCCGAACTTAAAACCCTTTCCGAAAGTAATCTGAAAATGCATGATAAGCTCAACCGTCTTGGTATGACTGGATCCACTGATAATGTCGTTAAGCACAGACCTCCAATAGTTACTATGCAAGCGACCCAACCAACATCTGGGAGTAAGATCTCAGCTGCAAAATGACCATTACCAACGGAATCTACTAAGTTTATTATCGGATCTGGTAATCAAAAAACCCACGAAGATTTCTGCCGCACCTATCCGTAAACACTCGGATATATTCGTCTCAAGACTAGATCCGCATGTTACCACTGAGATGCTTAAAACTGAACTGTTCCCTACATTGGATGACATCACTATCACTCAACTTACGACCAAACACCCTACATACGCCTCCTTCCATATCCAATTGCCACTTCAAAACCTAAATGAAGTACTGGAACCTTCATTTTGGCCTGAAGGTGTCATTGTGAAGCGCTTCTGGGGACGTTTGCAACCAGGTATGTCGCTGAACTCAGCTCCAAAAAACTTATAGAAAATTTAAGCTCTAATGTACTCCTTGGCTTTTACCAAAATTGTAGAGGTCTTAGATCTAAACTCGATTTATTTAGATGTAATGTTTCCGTTTTTAATTATATTTTTGTTTGTTTAACCGAGACATGGCTCACCGATAGTTTTTATGATAATGAATTAGGTTTGTCAAACTATTTTATTTTTCGATGTGATAGAAATAATTTAACTATACTCTGTTCAAAATAAGATCGTGACCCGGCGGCGACCAGTTTTCGTCGGGCGGCGGTCAGACTTATGGCCAGATGCCGTCCCCACTACAGCGACGCGTCGGGCGTAGCCACGGAACAAAGCCACGCCCATGCGCACAACTCGGCCGCCGGGTCACGATCTTATTTTGAACAGAGTATAGTAATTGTCGTCGAGGTGGTGGTGAGCTCATTGCCATTCGTAATGACATATTATGTGAGTTATTGCCCACATCAGTTTTCAAATACATAACTGAACCTACCAATCAACCCCAAAATCCATCCACTAGTAGAGGCACAAGCCTGGAATAGTAAACGGCATAGCCACCCCTCCCAAAGCAAAGCATCAGTTTTCAATGTTGAACATGTATTTGTGAAATTTTCAACCAATAATGTTGCATTCATTGTTTGCTCCGTTTACATCCCTCCAAACAGTCCTATCCATATCTATGAGTCCTTTATGTCAGCTGTCCAAATTATAATCTCTACCCACTCCGATTGTGTACTCTTATTTTGTGGCGATTTTAATCTTCCAAACGTAAGCTGGTCTAACGACAACTATGGGCTTTCTTACTCTTCCGTCTCAGGTACAAGAATACATTGCATGCCCGAAATATTTGCATTTCACAACTTTTTTCAATTAAATAGTGTACCTAACTCTTCAGGTAATATCCTTGATCTAGTATTCTCTAATAACCCTAACACGTGTATTACAAAATCTGATACTGCGGTTGTACCAAGTGATCCTTACCATCCAGCTTTGGACTTAATTTTCACTTTTGACCATGAACTGCCATCTATTGATAACACGCATAACTTCTTTGATTTCAGTAAAGGTTGTTATACGCAGATTTGCTCATTTTTGAATTCGTTTAATTGGCTTCTAACCATTACTTCACTTGATATTGACTCAGCAACGCACGCACTTTATGACGCCTTGCACTATTGTGTCTTAAATTTTGTTCCTGAAGTTAAGTACAAACCTTCAAGATTTCCTAGTTGGTTTTCTAGAGATCTAAAGTCTATTGTTTGGGAAAAAAGAAAGAAGCATGCGAAGTATAAATCAACTCAGTGTCCTCGTGACTACTCTGAATTTTCTACTCTTCGGGCGCAATATAAGATTGAGTACAAAAAATGTCATAGTGAATTTTTGTCTCGCACTGAAAAACAACTAAACAAAAATCCACGTTCCTTTTGGGACTTCGTACGCAAACATAAATCTGGCAGTGGAATCCCTAATTCAGTCTTCTACAACGATACAACTAGTTCTGGGCCTGAGTCGATTCCCCATATCTTCTCATCGTACTTCAAGTCAGTCTATCTACCAAATGTCCATAATCATTACGACCCTGGCACTCCTTTTTCCCATTTTAATTTACCTAGTGACTGCATATTCTCTGTCGATGATGTTGATGTTGGTCTCTCTGCTTTAAAAAACGTTAAATCTACCGGACCTGATGGCTTATCTGGTACTTTTTTGTTCAACATCAAGTCGGCCTTATGCTATCCTCTATGGTTGATATTTAGGCGTTCTATGGATTTGGGTGTCTTTCCAAAAATTCTGAAGATGAGCTCTGTAACCCCAATATTCAAATCAGGGGATAAGTCTGATGTGAAAAATTATAGACCTATTTCAATCTTAAGTCATATTGCCAAGTTGTTTGAGCTACTGGTGCTACGGAATATTCAACCATCGGTTAACAATATATTAATTGACGAACAATATGGCTTCAGACCTGGCCGCTCGTCTGTATCGAACTTAATTGTACTTAACAACTACATCTTTAAAGCTTTCGAGCAGCACTCTCAGGTTGACGTCATATTCACGGACTTTGCTAAAGCTTTCGACAGAGTCGATCACCAAACTCTCATGGATGTTCTGTACAAGTCGGGATTTGGTGAGCCTATTCTTTCATGGCTTAAATCGTACCTAACAGGCAGAGTCCAATGGGTCAAAGTTTTTGGACATACATCCAAAGCGATCGAAATTCCCTCGGGTGTTCCTCAAGGAGGCCACTTGTCCCCTATTATTTTTTTCACTGTTTATTAATGGCCTAAAAAATGTGATACCCTCCGCCAAGTTCCTTATGTTTGCAGATGACCTTAAAATCTTTAGTCGTGTTGACACATTAAGTGACTGTGACTCTTTACAAAGTGACCTAAATTCCATGGTTTCCTGGTTCAATTCTATTGGACTACAGTTTAATACAGATAAATGTCACAGTATGTCATTCTCTAGAAGTAGGTCTATTATCAAATATACATATATCATCAATAATTCAATCGTTGAATCGGTATCTATGAAAAAAAATTTAGGTGTTTTACTCTGTCCTAAACTGAGCTTTCACTCTCATATCGAAGCAATGTGCTGTAAATCTCTAAAGACACTTGGTTTTGTGCTACGATTATCTAAAGAGTTTAAATTGTCTGCTTCACTCAAGTCTATTTACTATTCCCTTGTTAGATCCCTTCTTGAGTACGCCTCAGTACTATGGGACCCCTGCACGGCAGTGGATTCATCTCTTATAGAACGTGTCCAGAGAAGATTTTTAAGCTCATCAGCGTTTATTCTGAAAATTAACCATCCACCTCACGACTACCAACCAGTCATGCAAAAACTAGGTCTTGTCTCTTTAGCCGACAGAAGAGTTGAGGCTAACTTACTCTTTTTACACAAACTAATTGATGGATCTATTGATGCTCCTTCCCTACTCGCACAAGTTGGTTTTAAAGTTCCTTCCCGTCAAACTAGGTCATCCGCTCCCTTCGCTATTACACCACACACGACCAATTACGGCAGAAACCAACCAATTGACAGGATGATGCGCCTTGGCAATGAGCACCCTCACTTGTTTATTAGATATCAGTAGGTTGTTGTATTATTACTATCATGTACCTAAAAAAAAAAAAAAAAAAAAAAATTTAAATGTATTTGTCACTGTATATTATATCTTGTGTTTGTATTATTACTATTGTATCCATAAAATTTCTATTTGTAAAGTTGGTTGGGTAACTGTAACACCCACTTAGGTTAAATTTATATATTTCTGTGCATTATATTGGGCTCACTGCCCGTAATAAATAAATAATAATAATAATAATAATAAAAATGCAAATATAAACAACCAGTGAAAATTTCATGTATATACGTTCATTTGTTTTAGAGTTACACCAATAACCAAAATCGATTTTTTGGAAAACCAATTTTGAGTAAAAATTCCCGTTTTCCTTAATTTTTATGTTGTTTTTCCCGGTGCTTGTGAAAACTACTGGGAAATTCATACTTTTGACCCCCCCAAAGTACCAACTAGATTCACTTTCCTATCAGAAAAGCTACTGATGAAGAAAATCCAAGCACTTTTACTGTCCTAAAACGTGATGACAGACACAAAAAAAATAAAATATAAAAATATAAAAACATACATCATTGTAAAACCAATACATTCATCGCTCCGCTCAGAATCTAAAAGGTGGGCAAGTGGGTGTCTCTCTGCTGTACAGTAGGTTACAAGTGGGTCACTGTATAATGGATGATATTAAATTTGAATTCAACGACATATTACCATTGTATAAGAAAAACGTTTCTGACGGAAGACGGTATGTCAGTCTAGGTATAAGACATATTATAATATACTAGTGATGGGTCGAACTGTTCGAATCTCGAACCGAACCGAACCGAACCCTTGATGTTCGGTTCGGTTCGAAATTCGAACTCGGCATGAAAAATATTCGAACCGAACTATCAAGCATCTCTTACTGTTCGAAAATCGAAGTTGAAAATATTTGTCTCTAACCAGACTTATTGGCCACGATAGTTCAAACTTAAAAATAAATAAAAATTGATAATGGTTATTAAGAAATAATTAGACTATTGGCGATAGAAAGTTATAGCTGTAATGGCACGTCATGTATTATTTATAATAATAATGTTGAGTTCGAGTTCGAGTTCGACTTAAAATGATTCTAGGTTCGGTTCGGTTCGGTAGAAAATATTACGGTTCGGTTCGGTTCGGGTTCGAAAAAATAATTTAAAGTTCGGTTCAAGTTCGGTTCGATTTAAAAAATCAGCGTTCTACCCATCACTATAATATACATATCTATGGTATTAAACAAAAAATAGGTACCTATAATAAATTCCAAATTAATCATATCACAATATCCATTAGGTACTTATAACGCTTTATACATCAACAAAAACCGTGATACTATCATAGATATATAATAATAATTAATAATACACTTTAGAAGTTTCAAGTACCCACGAATAATATTATTCAATCACAACAAAAAAACTAAAATAGTTATTCTAGGTTTTTTAATATGTAATTTCGTCCAAATTTGAATTTAAAATGTCTATAAAAAATGACTGTGTTAATCTATTTTTTGGATTTTTTGGTTACAGTATGAACTATTTATGAGAACCTT